TTCTGTCTGGTATTAGTATTAGGAACTTTTGGTGGAAGTTGAATTTAAGTAAGCAAATCTCAGATATGGTGATGTTTAGTCCTTCCTCACTTTGCATTTCCCTACCTAACAGGCAGTTATCGAGTAATCTTGTTGATTGATTACTAGTTCACTGTAGCTTGGCAATAAAAGTGTTTGCTTCCTTTTTGACTAATAGGTGGAGTTAGGGGAGCCTCAATGCAACCTCTAGGGCTGCTGTCGGAGTAGTTCTCATCGCTCCACTTGTCATGTGAATAGCTAAACTGCATAAATTGTGAAATTATAGAATAAAGAATAAACTTACTATTATCCTAAAAAAGATTGATTTACTTAAACTTGCTTAATTGAATAGTGACAAATACAACATTCTTGCACTAAGTGACGTAGGCTATCCCAACCGCTTTGCGAAGGTTCACAAATTCTCGTTTGAACTAAAAATTGGAATTCGTTGTTGAGGTTCATTCTTGAGGAATTCGAAAACTAATTCCCAATCTATATATAATTACGCTAACATAAAAGTTTGTTACCCCTTTTTAACTGTGTTGCCGTTGACATATATGGATAAAATTTATACCGTTGGAAATGTGAAGACGTGCAGAAGAACACAATGTTATTTTTTCGCATGTACGTTAACGGAAACACAGGTAAAAATGCGTTGGCGTAAATTTAGCGACTACAACAAAAAAATACATGTGTTTTTCAAAGTTTTTTTTTGTGACCAATTGTGTATTGTTTATGGTGGATTTGTGTGTGCGATTTTTTTCCACTTTTAGAAAAAAGTGGACTTTGTGTGTTTGGACTTTGTGTGTTTGGACTTTGTGTGTTTGGACTTTGTGAATTCTGTTACAATCAGATTTTTAATGCTCATTAAATTTCAAATATTGTTTGTGAATAAAAAAAACGCATTGAAGTGGAAATATCCTTTGATATCAATCGTTTTATTTGCATTGTGTGATAGTTAAATTTTAATTGTGATAAATTTTAATTTTGATAAATTTTAATTATGATATATTTTAATTGTGAAATGTGGATAGTTAAGATTAATGAGTTTGAAATTTTTAGATTAATTTCAAGTGTATTGTGTGATAGTTAAATTTTAATTGTGATGAATTTTAATTGTGAATTGTGTGATAGTTAAGGTTAATTAATTGGTTGAATCGACATTAACAACACTTCAATTTGAGAGATATTCATTTTGTACAATGAAAGAACATTATGATAGAGTATGCAATGCACAAAAAGAAATTTGTATGGCAATTACCGTGAATCGTGATACAGATATACGAAGATATAATATTTACGACTGTAGATGGTGAACCACCATTTGAGAGAAATATGATATCTTTTTTAAAAACAAATGGTGTAGTTAAGAATGTATTAGTATTAGATTCTGCTTTGGAACCATTGGCATATCCTTTACTATTCCCAAATGGAGATTTTGGTTGGCACGTTAATATATCGCATAACGTGCAACATAATTCTAATGGTAGGAAGATTCGAAATAAAGTTACAATGTTACAATTTGCATGATTCAGATTTGCAATAACGGATCAATTTAGCTTTTTGCATAAATCGCAAAAACTATTTTTGCAATACATTGTTGATATGTATGTGAGAATAGAAGGATGTCGACTACATTTTATAAGACAGAATCAAGTAAATTTGAGGGCAGATGTGTATAACAATATTAGTGATTATTTGCAAACGAATCAAGTAGGAGATGGTAGCTTAGGTCGTAAAGTGATTTTGCCTTCATCCTTCACTGGGTCTCCGAGAAACATGTATCAAAATTACTTAGATGCAATGTCAATTGTTCAGTATTTCGGCAAGCCATCGCTTTTTGTTACAATGACTTGCAATCCGAATTGGGCGGAAATTGTATTTAATATTGATCCTAATGAATCATCTCATTTCAGGCCTGAAATAGTTGTGCGTGTATTTAAATCGAAGTTAAAAGAACTCATTTCTGACATTTGGAATAAATATATTTTTGGCAAAGTTGAGGCTCTTATTTATACAATCGAATTTCAAAAAAGAGGTTTGCCTCATGCTCACATTTTGATAACTTTATGTGAAAATGACAAAATTGTCGGGCCGGCTGATGTTGATAAAATAGTTTGTGCAGAGATACCGGATAAAAATTTGCAGCCAAAATTACATGAATTTGTTGTCAAACACATGATGCACGGGCCATGCGGTGTTTTGAATCCAAGCTCTGTATGTATGCAAGATGGAAAATGTTCAAAACAATTTCCAAAGTATTTTGTACAATTAACGAAAGAATCAGTTAATGGTTATCCGTTGTATAGACGGCGCGATAATAATGTTTCCGTTGATGTTAGAGGAAAGTCTTTAGATAATCGTTATGTCGTTCCATACAACCCATATTTGCTTGCAAAATATAATTGTCACATTAATGTCGAAGTGTGCACTTCAGTCAAAAGTATTAAATACATATATAAATATGTATATAAGGGTTTTGATAGTGCAACTGTTTTAATTCAAAGTGAAAGCACAAACGAAAATGACCAACAAGTACAAGTTGAAGTAGATGTAGTTAGAAATTTTTTGAATGGTCGATATGTGTGATCAACTGAGGCTATGTGGCGAATATATGAATTTCCTATGCATTTTCAGTCTCATATTATAATTCGTCTTGACATTCATTTGCCACAAAGACAAAATATTATATTTCGCGAAGGCCAAGAAAGACAAGCAGTAGAATCAAAGTGATTCATCTGCTAATCAATATACGTATATAGAAATTCCATTGCATTATGTTTGGATTGATAGTAGAAAATCTTGGCAAAAAAGACAACGAGGAGGAGATAAAATTATTACTCGGATGTATATGGTGTCTCCCAAAGAAATCGAGCTATTCCATTTAAGATTACTTTTGTTGCATGTAACAGGGCCAAAATCATATGAAGATGTGCGTACATTCAATGGAATTGTTTATAGCACATTTATCGAAGCATGTCATGCTAGGGGAATTGCGTCCAATGATAATGAGTGGAGAGTTTGTCTGAATGAAGCTAAGACATTTAATTCAGCAAAACAAATGCGTAATTTGTTTGCGATTATTTGTGCCTTAAATATTCCAGCAAATGCAGTAGCACTTTGGGTGGAATTTAGAGATAATTTAAGCGAAGATTTCGTTAGAGATGGTTGTAGTGTAGATGTTTCTTTTAATAGAGTATTATTGGAAATCGAGGAAATTTTGTTAACACATAATGTTACATGTACGTCACTTGGTTTGCCTACACCTACAATAATACCAGAATTTACTGATCTCGATATTTTTGATCCTTTTGTAGAAGAATGTTTATTTAATGAGCTTTATGATTGCGCAAATAATGAACAGCGTGATACTATTGATAAAGTTATTTGTGAAGTTCAGTATCACGATACAGGATCAAATGTGTTTTGTTTGACAGCCCATGCAGGTTGTGGGAAAACATTCACACAAACGGCTATAATTCGTAAATTAAATTCCCTTAATCTTCGCTGTATTTCGTGTGCATTTAGTGGAATTGCTTCCACTTTATTGATTGGTGGAAAGACACTCCATAATGTTTTTAAACTGCCTATAAATCTGATGAAAAATACAGTTCCGAATATAAAAAAAAATAGTAGTTATGCCATATTTATTAATTCGGCGGCATTATTAATAATTGATGAAATTTCGATGTGTCCGTTACAAAGTGATAAAATGTATTGATACGTTGTTGACAGACTTATGCGACGATTCACAAAAAAAACAAATGATTTTTGCTGGAAAAACTGTATTATTATGTGGAGATTTTAGACAAATATTGCCCGTTGTTCCTCATGCATCACGAGCAGTAATGATTGAAAATTGTATTACGAGTTGGGCAGAATTCCCGTTTTTCAATCATATAACGTTAACTCAAAATATGAGAGCACTCCCCGAAGAGTTGGAATTCGTTCAATTTCTAAAGAGAATTGGCAATGGTGAAGATTTAGTAGAAATTCCAGCAAATTTGATAGGTGTTGAATCTAACACAGTACATGATATTTTTGGAGATATTAATGAAACCATTTTATCAGATAGAATGTTGAAGTCAGTTGTGTTAGCTCCAACTAATGCAGATTGTGGACTTATCAATAACGATGTATTGAATCGCATCGCTGGTGAAAAAAAGGTTTACTACAGTTTTGACAGAATTATTTGCGAGGATAACAGTGAGGTGTGCAACTATCCAGTAGAATTTTTGAATACTTTGATTGTAAGTGGTTTGCCACCACATAAGTTGGAGCTCAAGATTAATGCGATAGTTTTGTTAATTCGAAATTTAAATACGAAGCAAGCATTAGTGAATGGGACGAGAATGCGAGTCAAAGGAATGCATAATAACACAATAGATTGTGAAGTACTCACTGGAGTTGCTTGCGGAAAACGTGTTTTGATTCCACGCATACACTTGACGTATTTAGGGACTGCTCTGCCATTTAATTTTCAAAGAACACAGTTTCCAGTCATCAGCGCATTTGCTATGACAATTAACAAATCCCAAGGACAGACATTTGATAGAGTTGGAATATTGTTGAGGAGACCTGTTTTTTCGCATGGTCAACTTTACGTTGCAGCGAGTAGAGTTAGATCATTTGACGGGCTTAAATTTTATGTCAGTAATGAAGGTGGACAAGGTCATTTGGCTAATGATGAAAGGGTGTTTACAAAAAATATTGTTTACACTGAAGTTTTGAGAACTTCGTGATATAAAATATAGAATTATTATTATACATTATTATCATTTTAGATTTCATTCAGTTGGAATGTTTTTCAATATTTAATTTTTTTCATTCGTTCATTTGCCAATTTCATTTCTTTGTTTCTTGCCTTCACTGCATA